CGATAATTTTCTTACTGTTTCAATTTTGTGACGCTAGTTTATGCCATTTTCTAATTGCATACACATAAAGAAAAACTGCATGTCAAGAACTCTCGTCTAAGAGGATACTCTCGGAAAACTGAGGATAAAAGATAGGACTGAATCGCAAAATGATCTATGAGTAAACATGGTTGTTTGTACGCAAGTCTTCCTAATTACATCAGAAAATAACTTAAATAGTAAAAAGTAGCAGGGCAAAAATATTATTTTGTAATTCTTTTAATTCTTTATTAATACGTATCAATGTAATTGATAGTTTCTTTGTTTTCAACTAAAGACAAAAGGGACCTAATATACCAATCAATCTATCTATCTATTAATCATTTCACGAAAACTGCAAAAGGACACAATGATAGGACAAAGAAAGAAAAAAACTATTGTTGCTGTTGTTTTTCTCCACTCGTCTTCTTTGGATAAGTCAAAAGCAAAAGCGGTAATATAAGTAACATCATCTACGACCTCAAACTCACTGGAAAATTTTGAAATACAGAAGAGTTTAACGTGCAAATTTTTTAAGAAAAATCAAAGATAGCACGTGCTTTAAAGGTGCATGTGTTCCACAATTTTCCAGTGTGAATGGTGGAGGACGAGAATATCACAGAGAGTGTCGTTTGTGGAAATGGTAGAAGACAGAATCATTTCTTGGTTTTAGTTGACAGTACGAGAACAACACTTATTTTTGGAAAAGTATAGAAATCTTTTCCTCTTCTTTAAATATGTGAAAAAAACAAAAAATCCCATGTTTACTATTGTCGTGTGATGTATTGTCACAAATCATTTGTAAACATTTATTTCAGAAAAGAAGGGAAAAAGTTCGATTTTTATTTTGTTTTTCTGTCGTTATAATAGAGTAGACTGCTGGTACTATATCCAGTGAAGATTTCAGCTCTCTAATCGTCTTCTGGATAGAGATATGCATGTTTCTATTTTGACTATTTTCCGCTGGCAAAAATAGAAAGATGGCCGTAATTTTAGAAGGAGGTGCCACAGGAATGAATTATTTTAGGCTTTATTAATAAACGTCGATACCCTCTATTGATGGGTATATACATGAACGAAAACGGAGGTATACATGTCCATAGGTTTTCTCGTTAGATATAGAGATAGACAATACTAACAAAGCTATTTGAAATGAGTTGTCATAGATGATATTCTAGTGCTGAGAACTCTACCATAGGATGACGATGACTGATATGACAATAATTTTCTTACTGTTTCGATTTTGTGTCTTTTGGTATTTATTGAAGTTTCTTCAAGTGCAAAAGTCTCTTATTTGTAGAAAAGATGGAGTTTTTGAAAAGTCAGAAATTTCACAGCTTCAGTTTTTCTATTTAAACTCTCATGACTGGAAAGATAATACATTTTGTTAAGTATTCTACGCTCTTTTAAATGAAATGTTTGGGCGAAAAGTTTTATCGAAGGATTACTCGGCCCTCAACGAAAAGAAAATTCATTTCCTTCAAACAGACTCAATGTTTTCCAAAGCCGACACCTAACTTTTTTTCACACATATAATGATTAATGATTAGAATGAACTGAATGCACTAGAATATCATCTATAATATCACAACTCATTTCAAATAGTTTTGCTAGTATTGTCTATCTCTATATCTGACGAGAAAACCTATGGACATGTATATACCAATCAATAGAGGGTATCGACGTTTATTAATAAAGCCTAAAATAATTCATTCCTGTGCACCTCCTTCTAAAATTACGGCCATCTTTCTATTTTTCCCAGCGGAAAATAGTCAAAATAGAAACATGCATATCTCTATCCAGAAGACGATTAGAGAGCTGAAATCTTCACTGGATTTTAATTTAATCAGATTGCTAGAGAATTGACACAAAAGTATGCAGTGTAACAATGTTGAAATGTTCTTCAACAAAAACAGTTCCACTAAATGTAAATTGCGAATTTTGTTTAAATTTTATTTTAATCACAAGCAGATGTCAAATGAACAAACAGAATGAGATTGTGTTTTACTCCAGAACTTCATAAATGCAACTCACCATCAATGAATTAAATGATTTCTATGCTGATAAAATTCTAAATATAAAAAGAAAAACGAATAGATAAGTCTATTTACTAAACCAAAAGTGAATAATAATCATTCTTTTGGGATCATCAGCCTGCGAATGAGTTATGAGTGAATATTACACCAGTGTTGCTGTTGGTTAACAGTTAATGCGATTCCGGATAATTCGAAAACATAAATAGAGAGAAACTAGATTTTCGTCAGGCGAAAGAAATGAGTTGAACGCAGATTTTGTAGAACACATCACTTCGAAAATGTTTTTGAGTTTTGTAAAAGGTGATTGAAAAAACAAGAGCACACCTCTAAGCGTGATGTGGCAATTGTTCAGTTCTTTCTTGTATTAACAGCCCAAAACGTTATTCTGGTTATGGTAGTGAATAGAAAAATTTAACTGTCTACGCTGTTTTCATCGGATATTAAAAAATTTAGAGACCACTCAAAATACATTTTCGTGAAGACATACGTCATAGAAGAACGTTCGAGACTCACATAGTTCTCTGCATCCAGTATGACTATACGAACAAACCGACAGGAAAGCCATACTGTTAATCACAAGAGTTCTATAAAAATACTCTTTTGTAGTTAATTCTCTCCAGTAATTCGATAACTAGTACTATAAGACCAATGGACAGCTGACAGGTATATCAACCAACAACAAACTTCGGTGCACTATTCTCCCATAACTCATTTTCAAGTTGCCACCACTAATTTAAGAACAAAATTCAAATCGTTCGAAACGAGATGTGGTTCAAAAGTCAATTGTCACTAGTGAATTAAATCCCGTACTTTTCCTATTCCGGCAGAAATTTTAAAAGTTAGTATTAATTACTCTGGTTTGCGAATGGGTTTGCAGACATCTTTAGAAATGAAGGAATGTTTTCTTACTACAGGGCCAGGTTTAACAGACAATATATGTTGGAATTTGGTGCAGTCTGAATTGATTTTAACAATGTCTAATATAGAAAAGTTTTGGCTACTGCTAACAATATTTCATTGAAAAAGTCTTAAACTGTTTAGTTGCTAACAATTATTGTTATTGTATTGTTAGCAATAGCCAAAACTTTTCTATATTAGACATTGTTTGTTCATTAAGAATATTCATAATTCGTTTTTGCTGTCGTTCTGTTGCTCGACTTTTCGATTTTCTTACGCCAGCTTCAGCTTGAATCATTTCGCCTTCGATCATTGCTTGCTCCTTTTTTAATGAATTCAAAAACTTCCAGATGTTTGGATGACAGCAGTCTAGTAGAGATGCAAATCGATTATTCCAGCCCTCAACAATGTTATTTGTTCGACGTTGTCCTTGTGTCGTGTTATCGTGAACATTCCACAGTTTAACATCAAATTTTGACTTTTTTCGTGATCAGTTATTAACAAGAAGCAAAACTCTTTTCAAAAGTCTTTTCTTCCTTTCCCATAGTAAATATTCTCCGCACATTTCTCTATCGATCTAGATGAGAACCAAATTTTATGATGAACGTCCAGGAAACTTTTTAATAGCAGTCCTGTGCTCAAAAATTTAACATCATTTTTCTAAGTAATTAATTTTTTTCTCAGCCAAATAATGTCAGTAAGCCAAAAAAAGCTTCACGTGTACTTCAAAGTGTCCTCTACAAACTGGAAAATCTTAAAGAAGTCTAAATGGAGGGATCCCCCTTAAGGTTGTTATTCGTAATCAACATGCGAAACTGTGGCTAGTGATGTATGTTTAAGGTTTACGTCAGCGAAGAATTTTGTCTGAGCTTCCTGTATGTTGGTGGACCGTTATGTGGATAAGCCTTTTTTTGAAAGAAGGCTACTGGGCAAAATCCTTCTAACTTTTTAAGGAAGACAGCTAGCAACCTCGGCTTTTCCCCATTCGAAAGAGGACACCGAGGGACACAAATCCATGGGAAAAGAAAACTTTTCCCGACGTTTCTTCACGCTAGTTTTCACAAGCAAAAATTGGGAAAATAGCCTGTTTTCTCAAAATGTTTTTTCTGTTTTTTCCCTAGGATTGTAGCCCGAAGCCCCGCAAGTCGAATGGTGTTTAAGCAATACCCAAAACTTTGCTTCCTTGCCGAATAAGCGTTTTAAGTTCACGGGTGGGCGTAAAAAACGTGTTTTTGGAAAAGAGAAAAAAGACTGGAAACATGGGTTTTCGAGTACGCTGATCATTCTGAGAGTGTTTACTGTTTCCGATATTACACCATGAACTGAGAAGATCACACATTTAAACAAGGGAAAGAATATCACGCCGTATATAAAAAGTACATATGGTACCATACATAAAAGAAGATGAAAAGTAGTACGAGATTCTTCTTCTGCATATATAATAAAGAAAAATGAAAAACAAAACTGCTCTTAGGGCTGATCTTCACAGTTGTCTTTAAGCAAAACCACATTTCCCAACTCAGATACATTTAATAAAGTATGAACTGATAAACCCTGATTCATTTCCAAACTGAGATATAATTTCTACAAGAACTCCGATGGAATTATTTATTTATAACGTAGTCACTAATCTGCACTATCGTTTAATAGACTAACCGACAAGTATAAACAACACAACTTTATGTGTCTAATCCTCATTATCATCACCAGTACTTATATCCCAATCACACAGTTGTTGAAAAATTTCTAAGTAGTTGTATGCAAAATGACGGGAAAGACGCTGATATTCATATAAATCTATATCATCATCAAGGGGAAAATATTTAAAAGAGAACGCAATTAGATTGAAAAGAGAACGTTTTGAATTTTTCGGAGAACGCAGATTAATTGAGATAGAAAAGAGAATGCATGAACGAATGGAGAACGCTTTTTAATTTTTCAGAGAACGCAAATAAATAGGGATATAAAAGAGAACGTATTTTGAATTAAAAATATTTAATTTTTACTATTTTCTCAATTAGTAAACATGTAACTATACTACAAAAATGTTTATTTCATTAATGCTAAACGTGCTTTTTTAGGTTTACCACGTTTTTTGCCGAAATTTTCTAATTTTGATGGGTATTGAACAAAATAATAGCCTAAATGAATCATCATGCCAAGAGCATATTTACAAACATATGATTTTAAATTTGTTTTACATGAACACATCATTGGTATTGTAATTAATCGTCCAGAATATAACCATGATGAAAATTCATCAAATGTTTGCCATGACATTGTTGTATGTTGTTGAAGCCATACGTTTGCATTCATTATGTTATGTATGCTAACAATGTATAACAGCATTTTTATCAAGACCTTGCAACCATTTCCATGCTTCAGCTGCTGTATCAATACTTGGGTATGTGGTAAAACCCATTATTAACTGATTGATGAGACCAGTCCTGAAGCATTGAAATAATTGTTGGAAGAAATGATGACAATGGAAGCTTACTTCGAAGAGTATATATTTGTTTGATTTTACCATTTAATTTTTCAAAAATTTTCAGCAAAAGACCAAACTCTTCTTGTCATTTTTCTATATAAAGTGAAAAAGTTAGTGAAAGATATAGTTGGCTCGATATTTATAAAGTAACCGGTACAAAAGTAACCGGTATCCTACAAAGTCGGTATTTTTGCAGATCCTTGTATAACAGCTCATAGCTCCATTTCGATTTCTGGCAAGATCCAATAAGTGCTACTAAAACAGAATATAGACGTTTTACCGTATTAATCTATCGCCAAAGCCATTGTACTATGCAACGGAATTCCGTTGCATTACTAATGACTTCCGCGCGGAAGTCATTAGTAATGCAAACTCATCCCTATGTTTAGAAATTCACTTCTAACTACATCCATAAAGCGCAATCCATTGCATCCAAAAGCGGAATCTACACGAATGCCACGCAACCAGAAGTTCGACCGTTATTCAAAGGTGGAAAGTTACTGAATTCAGGGCAATGCCAACTGAAACTCAACGAATTGAAAGGATGGGTACCTCCAAAACCAGATCCATGTGTGGTGTGGAGGTGGTACGCGGATGATACACCTTATCATCGATGGTTTTACGACGAGTGAACATGAAAAAAAATCCGATAAAACTTTTGCGTTC